TTTTCCATCTACGAACTACAGTTTTACGGATTATCTAAACATACTTTACGAGTTAGAGCAGTTTTGTATCCAGCAGAAGAGTTATGGCTTTAACTTGGTCCTACTTGGGGACTTCAATGCACATTTGCAAGAAACAAGTCTGCATCAGATGTTAAACAAAAGGGGACTTAAACTACAGGAATTTTGTAATGTGTTAAATCTAATTCCCGCGAATGTATCACCTGTTTGTGAACATCCCCAATTTACATATATCTCTAGAACTGGAAACTCTATTGTTGACTATGTGATTATTGATAATACATTAATGCAGTTTTTCGATTCAGTAGAGAGATCTTGTGAGCATCCTGACAATACAGCATTTCATTTACCGCTGAAACTATGCTTGTCTGTCCAAGTTTCGGACCGAATTTCAAACGATATCGGAAATCACAGTATAAATACTTATGACAAAATACCATGGAAACGATGTACTGCGGAACAACTGAATAGTTATCAGGAAAATCTGAACTTATTAATAAGTAATGCTTGGGAGAATATTAATTTATGTGATGCAAACGTTATTTATGAGGAACTGATTGAAATTATTAGAAACGCAGATCAAATGTTACCAAGAGTGAATTTTAAAAAGCATATAAAACCGTTCTGGAACAAAAAACTTAAAGATTTAAGAAAATCCGTCATGGCTGCAAGAGCAGATTGGATAAAAGCAGGATCTCCAAGACAACGTAGTAATATTTTCTATATAAAGTATAAAAAACTAAAATGCGAATACAGACGTGAGCAGAGGAAAGCCGTGTGGGAGTATGAGAGGAAAGAACTTAATGATATCGGTAATCTGCAAGACTTAGATAATGAAAAATTTTGGAGACTGTTAAATAATAAGGCATGCAGGAATAACAAAAAGAACAAAAAAATGGTATTAGAGGTAAATGGTAAAATTATCACGGATTCACAGCAAATGGCAGATCTTTGGGCAAATTATTTTGAACAGTTAGCAACACCTTCAGAAGATGAGAATTTCGATCGAATTCACCGAATTGAAATTGAAAATGGAGTAAATGATATCGTAGAAAAATCAGAGAATGCTCTAGGCTGTATATTTACTGTACCGTTAACAACTCAGGAAATTTCGGAGGTTATTAGAGGCCTACCAAACGGAAAAGCCCCCGGGTATGACGGAATCACGTATGAGCACCTAAAATGTGGTGGAGAAATGATTATACATGCATTATTAAATCTTTACACTTGTATTATCGATAGAGAAGAGATTCCAAGTTCATTTAAATTGGCAGTTAAAATCCCAATTCCTAAGGGTAATAAGAAAACACACATGTTTGATGATCATCGAGGGATAAGTCTGCTGCCCTGTGTTAATAAAATCTTGGAACGTATAGTATTATCACGATTACAAAAGCAACAAAATTGTCTCCATCATCCGCTCCAGGGTGGATATCAAAAACAACAAGATGCTCTCACGACATGTTTTGCAATTGAAGAGGTGCTAAATCACTGTTCCGAGGACAATGACAAAGTCTATGCAGCCTATATGGACATCTCAAAAGCTTTTGACACTATGTGGATTAATGGAATGCTTTACAAGCTATACTACACCAAAGGGGTAACTGGTAAAACTTGGCGGCTCATACGAAATTGGTACTTGAACATGAAAGAATTTGTTATCGTTGAAGGAAAATCATCTCGTATATACGAGCTAGGGCAAGGTACAAGACAAGGTGGGGTTCTATCACCCTGGCTTTTCCTGGTATTCATAGACAACCTTATCGAGGAATTGAGCAACATTAAATCTGGAATTTGCATCAACACCGTGTATTTCGGATCACCCATGTTTGCGGACGATCTAACTATGCTATCACGTATGAAATCTGGACTGGACAAAATGTTACGATGTGCTTCGGAATACAGTAACAAATGGAGATTTACATTTAATGCTACGAAAACGGTAGTTTTAACGTTTGGTGAAAGCTATCGGGAACGTAGTGTAAATCGCAGCATTAGAGATTGGCATCTTGGGTCACGAGTTATTTTGGAAAAGGAATGTTGGTTCAATCTTGGAAAAATATGGCATGTAAATAAGGATTCGTCTGCATTCGTTTCCAAGGCTGTTACCAGAGGAAGAGAATCCGGAATGGTTTTAATGAAAATGGGAGCTCGATATGGAGGATTAAATCCTATAATTTCAGTTCAGTTATGGAAGCGGATTGGTATCCCAAAGATGTTGTACGGTTCCGAGCTCTGGCAATTGAATTGTAATGACATTGTTGAACTGGAAAAAGTGCAAAATACTACGGTGCGTATTATACAGGGGTTATTACCTGGAATATCAGGGTCTGCTGCGAGAGGGTTGCTGGGCTTACCACCAATCGAAGCTGAAGTCGATAAACGGAAATTGTATTTTCTGGGACGACTTATACTAATGAGTCATGGTGTTCCGTGCAGAAAGATCTTCCTCATGAGATTAATACGTTGGAAGTGGAACCATACAAACACCTTAAAAGGATTCATTCCAAATATTGTACGAATTCTTTTGAAATATGATCTCATGGACTTTCTAACAGGGTATATTTTATCCGATCAATTTCCAAGCAAATCTGCATGGAAGAAAATTGTTAAAAAACATATATACGAGTACTATAACAATATCTGGCAAGAAAAAATAAGTACGCATGGTCAACTAAAACTTTATGCAGAAGTTCATCCTGTGATTGAAATTTCACCATGGTGGTTATTAGCTAGAATGAAACCGGACTTTATGAAAGAAATTAATGATGTTCTAAGACTACTCTGTGGATCTTACAAAATTAAAGGAAAACGGGTGAACAAACCAGAAACTTATAGAGACTATTGTAATGTTTGTAATAGCAATTTCTTAAATCCTGTAAAGCATGCATTACTTTATTGTAATGGCACAAGCCAATTAAGAGAAGAACTATGGGAATGGATAAACGATACTATGCCAATCGAAATGGCAGTACATTTAGCAAGTTTGACAGACATGGAATTTCTCTTAGTTATATTAGGTAAAAAGTTAGAAGCATTATGTGCAAACACAGACATATGGACGGAGCTATTGCTGAAATCTGCAAGTTATGTTTCCTTTTGTTATAGGAGTAATTTAGTTAGCTAGTTCGGTAACAATAGTTAGTTTTTTCACTATCTTTATTTTATTATTAATACTTCCTTTGTAAATATACCTACTCTTCAGAAATTGGAGGCAATAAAGATTTAAAACTGACTAACTAACTAACTAACTAACTAACTAGAAAATACATGCATGCAGAAAGCCTTGTCACAGAATAGGAAAAACATTTCACATACAAGTCATTATATAAATGGTTTACACGAAGTAGTGCATCGCAGGGTATCCCCATCCCCCTTCACACGGCAAAAAAACGATCAGGTTGTTGCAATATTGGTGAAAACAGGATTGAACAATGTTTTGCTGCCCACATGGTTGTTCACAGTTGTCAACAATATTGAACAATATTGTTACACCCGATTTAGGCTCAACAATATTGTTCAATATTGTTGACAAGTGTGAACAACGTGGGCAGCAAACATTGTTCAATCCTGTTGAGCAGCGGGCTCGGCGTTTCTTGCTGTGTACGCGCCTATAATGACGCACTACTTCATGTAAACCTTTTATATATTGACTCGTATGTGAAATCGATTTATAGCGCCTGGGGGACGAAACATCGGTATCGGTGGCATTGATCACAAGCCAGCCAATAAAATTGATAATTTTATTCCGCGTGTACCCAGCGAACTGGCATACTCTTTGTACGATATAGAACTGAATTAATTTTGATCCAATCCAAGGACTGAATGAATTTTGATCCAGTCCAAGAATTGAATAAATTTTGATCGAGTCCTAGGACTGATCAATACGCTTCATCAAGTATCCAGTATTATCATATGAGCAAAATAAAGAAATAATACGTTTGGCTAATTTACTCAAGACATTATTAACGAGTTTGAGATTAAAATTTCAATGGCAAAAATATAATTAATGGTACATTTTAGGTTATAATCACCAAGCCCTGCACTTACTCCAATGTGCAAGCCATGTATGAAGTTGCTGTATGTCTTTTGCAGTAACCATGTTTATCACCACGTATATTTGATCTCTCATAACAAAGATCATTAGCTCTGAAAGCACCTTTACGAGAAGAAAACAACATTCCATGTTGAAACCAGACATAGTACTACAGTGCGGTGCCCTGGAGCAGGCACAAAACAGCACATGCACCAGCACGAAGATATTCTATATTTTAATAAACACCAAAGCTTCCAAACAAACTAACCGAGACTAACAAAATAACAAATTAACTCACAGACTAATAACAAGCTCATGCACCAAATACAGAGCGATGCCTAACTTCGTTTGGGCACCGCAATTTATCAGTAGTTCGCGACAATTTTATAGAATTTATATCAGACATGTTTTCGCCCGTTACGCCAGTGCAAGTAAACAAATCATGCATTCTAAATGAACTTCATCCGCGACCAACTTTTATTGTGTCTTCAACAGATATGACCTCATATCACCTCATATCAATGGCGTAACTCCTTTGGGCCCAGCCTGGCTCAAGCCAGGGGCTCAAATCAATTAGGAAGCCCTTGAACAAGGATGACAAAATGGCGAAGTTGATGTATTTCAGCAACCTTCAGACGCCACTTTAAATGGGCAAGACCATGCAGGGGCCCTATTCCAGTTAAAGCCGGGGTCTATTGTTTAGTACAAAGTTACGCCCCCCACTGCCTCATATCACAAAGTGCCCGCTTAAAAAATGCAGGATGATGTCATTGCCTAACAAGCATCCTCGTTTCCATGGTCTCTCGGCCACGCGCGACCTCCATAGGTCCTGGGATACACGGAACTGGGAGGGCCCTTCAGGGGTAAAATGGGAACTGGGATTGATCTATTTTTAGACTGGGAAAATGGGATTTGGGTTGCTGGGACTGAGATTTGGCCACTGGGAATGGGAAATGAAGTCCTCAAAAATGGGAATAGGATTGAGGTAATGCGAGTCGATTCCCAATTTTTCTGCGTTTTGAGTATTTTAAAATACAATTCTGATCCGTTTTTGGTGTCTTTGGTCATGATTTTTGTTGTCAACTATGTTATTCACAGCACTACCTGCGAACAGGCATACTTTGGCGCCCGGAATTCTGGGTTTTCTGATTATGCGTGTCTCAGAATGCTGCAAATGCCATTTCCAGGATTCAAATTTAAAAATTTTCCGTGCCTTCGGCACGAGACCCCCCCCCCCTCCCAATTTCATAAAGTGTCGGCCACTTGCTAAAAAAGGTTTTAAAACAGTTTATTCTACCGATAAATAAAGGTTTTTTTATTGACTGGGATTTCAATGACTGGGATTTCAATAACTGTGACTGGGATTTCTAATAAAAACCCAACTGGGACTGGGATTTTGCCAAAATTTCAGGCGGGAAATGGGATTGGGACCCCCTTCAGGACCCTCAACTGGAAGTGCAAGTTACGCTTTAGCACCCATAATAATTTCCACAGAGATATTAGTATTACAAATAAACGAAGTATTTATGTTAAGCTTATTTTTCACCCTGCTCGGTTTCCTTTGTTCTTGTCGGGGAATATACACAATATTCCCCTCTAATCAATTTCCGTTTAATAATCCCCTCTAATATTCACCTGCAATGTCTTTGCAGCACAAAAAATGAGAAAAAACAACATCGCGAAGGCAATATGGCATTAAGAATTATTTCTTTTCTGACTCATTAAGCGACCTCGCAGTGTGAAAAATAAGTACGTTATTTTGAGGCACCTCGGGGATATGTGTTTATTCACCTCGGCGCTGCGCGCCTCGGCGAATAAATCACATATCCCCTCGTTGCCTCAAAATAACCTATACATATTTTGATAGAATAATTTTGCCAAGCAAAAATTGCTCAGCTTCTGGGAAATAGCAGTTCTCTGAGAAGCCAATCAAATCTCTTCCTTTAGTCGTTTAACTCAGAGCCTAATTTTCAACGAGTAAAAATGGCTCTGGGGACGAGAATGCCTAACAAAGTGAAGATACTGGTAAACCCCACATAAAAGAACCACTGTTTTTTTATGTAAGCCCGATGTAGTTCAGATGATATCAGTATAATTTGGTTACTTATTACTAAGAAATCAGGCCGAGTTGGTTCTATAATCAATTAAAACATTTGTTCCTGGTTTGGTGTTCTAAAAGATTTGTTTCCATAATTAGTGAGCTGTTGACATTATACTAATCGGTTGCTATCAACCTTGTTCCCAAGCTGGAGGGTAGAGGAAAGAGCCTGGGTACAAGGTTGAGTTGCTATTTAAAAGCCTCTGAATTTGATAAAACATATCCTCGTTCAGTACTAAACAATAAATTATGGTGAGAGTCTCCCAGGAAGGTCTGTACCGGTTCATTAATTTGAAACGTTTTCCTTTGTTGCCTTGTTCACCATGTTCCCTTGTACCCCAAGCTTGCATGTTCCCTTTGATATTTTCGGCTTTGCTCCCATTGCAAAATATCTCTTGTTCTCTAGTTGTTTTCTAGTAAAGTTCTCTACAAACCCCTGGGAAACCCTATTTTATGCGGGGTTTTACTGTAGTCCTACTGCCACGCAGGCTACTGTAGTCCTTTTTGAAGGTAACTGCCTTCATCACTTTCGAAAGCATGACGATATTCTGATATTTATGATTTTATGTTGTACGCCTTCAAACAACGCTTTAGTTTGGCCCTAAAGTAGTTGAGAGCACTCTGGAAGGTGAAATCTGTTCGGAAATTGCCAGTTGCCCCGCCAGCTCGATAATTGGTGGGGGCGAGGGGGGCCAATATTCATATATTTGTGTTCACAGACCATAAAATCAATCGATTTCAAAAGAAGTTAATAATGCAGAACACGAAGATATGAATATTCGCACCCCCAAAATGAATATTCGCACCCCTAAATATTCGCACCCCTGGAAATTGCATTCGTTTACCTGACGAGCAAAAATATGTTTGATTTTCAAGTTGTTTGTAGCAGAATGATGCGAGATCATCCGCCATCTTGGATTATTGAGGATATACATATACGTCACTTTTGATTGTTACTCGGTAATCTGTAAGTAGTTTTATAAGGCTAATCCCAACTCCTGACGCCATCAAAACGATAGTTAATGAGGTTACGAATTATTAATCCAAGATGGCGGAAAGCTCATTGCTTTCAGTCAAAAAAAATATTTCAGCAGTTAAGCAAAGTTGTGAAAAATCTATAGCAAGATTTCGTAGATATTTTAAACGCGTTCTTTCAAATGAGACAATATTTTTTTTTGTTGCCATTGTCCATAAAAAGGAAATTTGCAAAATTAAATCACATACATACCGCCAAACCACAAATTGTTACATTGTTCATTATACGTTCTACACTCTCCTGCATAACAATATCCCTAAGGCAGGAAAGTTGTTAGTTAAGAAAACGTAAACTTGCCTGCTTCAATAAATGTATTAAAAAGGTACAAACTAAGCCATATGAGGCTCTGAGGGCAGGATGAGCAAGTCCGGTCTCACCTGTTTATTATTACAGGATATACCATTTGCCGTCTTCAGATCAGCAGGACACTAAAATATGACAATGAAAAGAAAATTTAGAGCTATCAAGTCAAATTAAATACATCGAATTCGATTCCCAATTGCAACATCCAGATCTTTCCCATCTGAAGTGTCTTACTCTATTTGGAGCACCCAAATCACTATTCCAAAACTACCAAGTGATAACAACATTTCTGGCTCAGATTGATCAGCTTACACTTTCGGACAATCGAATCTTATATGAGAAACTGTTGTGGGGGCGTACGCATCAACAATATAGCCGAATGTTTGGTAACGTAAATTTCGTAAATTATTATTGCAAAGCGTTTGATATATCTGTGGTATTTCCACAAACGAAAACTTATATTAAATAGATTATGTTTTGTGTCCAGCTTTATCGGTTCGTATGTATTAAAAAAGGTTATACTATAAGACAATATACAGACAGTATACATCGCGGTTCATAATTAATGCACTTACAACTTCACTAGACCCATCGCAATACTCCGGAACATCGCACGAGTTGACAGCATCACGACAAGCTGTTCCTCGAGCGGCAATCTACAATGAAACAGTATTGATAGGGTCCAAACTAGCATGAAAGAGATTGGAACTTCTAGGAGTTCATACTCGTGATAGCTCAACTTGTTCTACCGCTCGGTTTAATTTAATACGTTGTGGGTAATCTCAGCCTCGTACCCAGGCGCAAATAACGTACTAAAAATAGCAACACTACAGTGTTTTTATATAGATCAGTGGCTAAGAGAGCGAGCGCGCGGGGGTGCTAGGTCAGGACACGACGGGATTCTGCGCTCGCTCAGCCACTGATCTATATAAAAAACTGTAGTGTTGCTGTTTTTAGTGCGTTATTTGCGCCTGGGTACGAGGCTGGGGTAATCTGCCTCGTACCCAGGCGCTTTGGTTTATTTACCTCATTAAGCGCACGTGGGAGGCACGCGAGGGAGAAAAACGGAAAATCGATCAAATTAATCCACGCGGTTCACCGAAAGGCTGCGCAAGCCATAGAACAACACATAGCGCCTGGGTACGAGGCTGGTGGGTAATGGATTTGAGACAGTTTACATAAAATATAGTGCTTACGTATAATTTAATCCAAACACTGTATCTTTAATTCCTACCTGACAGTTATTACAACAAGCGCCGTGTGTGCATTGACATGGTGGTTTTGGCACAGGTTTACAATCGAGGCCACTATCACTGCTTCCACCTGGACCATTGTACGCTTCTGAACAATTAGGACACTTCCATCCTGCATTACAATGACAGTTGCCGTTCTCATTACAGACCTGTTCAAATCGATATAAGAAGTTTCGATGGAAGAAATTAACCTATACCGTTATCTATAACAGTTCACATCATTTTTAGATAAAATTTTGCTTAAATAGCAACCTACCTACCTATTTACTTATCTATACAATCTTGGACATGCCCCTTGAGACCGTGCCAACCAATATTGCAAAGTTAATGCACATTTGCCAAAACAAAGTTGTCACCCCCTCTCCCCCAGTTCAATGTTGTAAACAGCGCCGAACAACATTTGGTTATTTACCATGACACAAGACCAACATTGAAGCGAAGACTTAAGAAGCGCAACATGATTCAACAAGGAATTTATCATAAGAGGTATATATGAAATGCGAATAGAGATGGAAAGGTAGTCTCAACCCGTTTATCATGTCAGCCTAACCAGCGAACGTGCATACTAAGTAACTTAGTTAGGTAGTTTTATTTTACTGTGACAGTCGTGTTTCAGTTCGAACCTATCTACAGTCACTTAGCTACGTGACAATTAATATACAGGCCTCTCCAAAGTTGCACACATCAATCTGCCTTACCTAGTCGGCCTATTAACCCTGACTCTTCCATATTCCCTCAAATTTCCTTCGAAAAAGTTAAGGTCATGTTGCCTATGCAAGACCGGTGCTTGCGGGTTGGAATAAAAAAATGGGTCGCAAAAACCCATGGGAATCCAATCATTCAACACGGGATGAGACCCTCCGGTTGGAACCGAACCTGCGGCTCTATGATGGTGGTGCAGCGTTCTGCCACCCACCTATAAGGCTATAACGCGATATCATATGATCAAAAGCTTACCCCATTTCCGTTACAGTTATTCGGGCATGTTCGTTGTCCACCATACGCGACTGAAAGTGATACACACTCATTGTTTTCGCAAACCTACACAGAAAAACCAACAAGTTAACTCAATATTATATATTAGCTCCTTAAGAGAACTTCGGTCAATTTCAACCCACGCGATTTAATGCAATTTTTTTGCGATTTAAGGCCGGCGAGTTAAGATACCAGAATAGGCCTTCGTTATTGTTATACCCTGCCATAAAAATACAGAATACTATAAGGAGCTCTGAGCAAAGAATATTTGATGTTGTCTCGCACAAATTCAACGATCCCACTTTGAATTGAAGGGATCACTTTTTCAAAATTTTCAGCAGTCTGAAAATACTTGCCATTTCGTTTCCACATTTTGTCCCATCTAAAACAGTTCCCAATTCTGGCAAACCTGGAGCCTGATAGATCTGCACAGACCTTAATTAAGAGATCAAATAACAGCGTGTAGGTAAGTTGTACTAAGCACTATCGTGCAACAGATGGTAGTGAAACGTCACAATTATTTCATATCGTTGGTAGCCTTATGAAATAGAGAATGAAACAAACCCGCATGAAATAAAGTATGAAGTTCCATCTTGGACTCAATATTTGCGAAGTACGAGAGAAGGTAAGATTCAATAATGATATTCGAATTTATTACAAATTCATCATCAGACAAATTTACAAAAGCTAACCCAGGTCTGGCGTTGGTGCGGAAGTGTTAGTGCAAGTGATTTATTAAGGAGATTATTATTATTATTTAAAAATATTTTAAAACGGTAGCTCTTCAGGGCTCGTAGGCACCTGTTTTTCAAGAGGCCGTTTATTACAGTATTTACAAGCTATATAAATATAATAACACAAATATACACACAAAAACAGAGAAAACATAACGAACTTAATAATTGCATTCACTACATTTGTATCTAAAAATATCCTATCCTATTTAAATATTTACAAAGTTACCAAAAGGAATCAAGTGCCGTCAAGAATACGTTTAAATTTGTTAAGGCTAATGCCTTTTTCTTTTGCTGTAGTTGATAAGTCATTCCAAAGGGATGCAGCTGAATAACTGAAACTCTTTTTCATAAAATTTGTTTCAGGTTTTCCAAGATCATAGTTGTTATTGTTACTTCTTAAATCATATCTGTCATTTATTTTAATTTTGAACATGTTGCAAATTGATGATGGCATTTTTTCGTTTCGTATTCTGTGCATAAAAATCGATTTATTGGTTTTATAGCATTGGTTTAAAGGTTGCCAGTCTAATTCTTTTAAAACATCCTCAGAACTAACTTCATAAGTTTTACCAGTGATGATTCGGGCCGCTCTGTTTTGTAATTTCTGAAGTCTGTTTTTTAAGTAATCACAACAGTTATCCCAAACCAAGCTACAGTAATCAAAATGTGATAACACAATGGCATTATATATTTTTACTAAGGTTGATTTGGGAACAAACTGTTTTATTCGTCGCATCATTCCTATTCCTTTTGAAGCTTTTGTGACAATATTTTGGATTTGATGATTCCATAAAAGATGTTCATCAATAATTACGCCTAAAGTTTTTGATTTGTGAACCCGCTTAATGACTGATTCACCAAGCTCAATTTTAGGGACCGTCAGTACTAAGTTTGAAATTCGTTGTCTTGAACCAGTAATCATGTGTTCAGTTTTATCTTTGTTAAGTGTAAGTTTGTTTGCAAGTAACCATTGGTGTATATTTTCTAAGTCCACGTTAATGCGCTCTTGTAGTTCGTCATTTGTTTTGCCATTGGTTGAAACATTTGTGTCATCGGCAAACATGCTTGCTGAAGATGTGGTCAGGCAGTTTGGCAGGTCGTTTATGTATAATAAGAAAAGAAGTGGCCCAAAATTAGAACCTTGGGGTATTCCACATTTAACTGTTCTTGTCTTGGACATTGTTTGATCTACCTTACACATTTGACAGATTTGGACATTGTTTGATCTACCTTACATATTTTACAGATTAGCAGTAATTGGGTGTTATGCGAAGTCGCACAGGGTAAGTTTAATTAGCTTTATAACGAACGAACTTGCAGGGAGATGAGTCCGGGATTGACGCACCAGTGGGGGGGGGGGAGGGGGCGGTAGCTCCCTCCTCCTGAGGTTCGGGAGGCTACCAGCCCCCTGAGGTGCGTCAATCCCGGACGCACCAAGCCTGCAAGTACATTTGGTTTTTATCCAGAGGAGGATTGAGGGTCTTCCGGAAATACAACGCGCGCATCAATGCGGCTCATTATTATTCAAGATATTTTATTTGTTCGATTAAAAAAACTGTTGAAATATATTGCGATTTTTGCTATAAAGATCTCGTTTTCTCAAAGGTATGTTTTGATAGCTTTTTTGTTTAGTAATTTAATAAAATAATTTTTGAATAATTTTGTATATATATATCGCATTTTAATTATGTAAACCTTAAAAGTGACATTGAAATATTCGTGAGTAAATTATACTTTTTTACAAGGAAACTAAGATAAAATCACATCAGTGAATTCAGGAATGTTTACTCTTTAGAATGATACTTTAAAACATGAATTTACGCCATAAAACCGAAGAGTCAGTGGCGGTTTGAAAATGAACTATTTTTCAGCAGGGGTGGATTTATAGGGGGTGCACAGGGGTGCGCACCCCTGTTGGCCTTGGTCAACAGGGGTGCAAAGGGGGTGCAAAAAAATCAAATTCAAAAATATGGCACAATTTCCAAGGTTTTTCCTTTTTTGAAGTCAAACTGAAGCTCATAATTCAATGCCCATATTGCAGGAAATGGCATTTCTAGGGTTCGAATTCTAATTTTCAAAATTTTCCAGGGGGCATACCCCTGGACCCCTAGGGAGGTAGTGCCTTCGGCGCTCCAGTCGATAGAAATGGCGCCAATTTATTTGAATGATCTCTAACCACCCCTTAAGGAATTATAAAGAAACACTCGGCTGCTCACCCCAGCACACCCCCCCCCCCTAGAAAAACCGTGCTGGATCCACCCCTGCTGTTTTTGACATCGTTAGGAATGTGGAAAAGTTTTAACTTACCGACAAATGATTCTTCTGCTGTTTAAAGTACCATTACTCCATAAATGATTATAGCCACGATCTTTTGGTGTTATTGTACTGTTGCCAATACACCATAGTTTACCACACTGAACATTCCTGTAAAACATTGTAATAAAATGTAGTACCAAAATGGTCAATTGTTCTAAAAATCGACCAAATGAGTAAAGGAACGAGCGGCCCAGGATGTTCCGAAAAATATTGGAACCCCCTCTCCCGTTGACATATATTTTCGGGACGGGCTCTAAATTTGGAGGTGGCCTCCCTTGACAATTTCGGCGGCAGCTGATTTAATGGATAGGGAAAAAATAGTAAAAGGGAAAAATTAAATAGTGAACAAGTCGGCAATATATTAACTGAACAATCAAAAACTTTAGAAGTATAAGGGATACATCAGATTAATTATGGCGATATTTAATTTAGGCCTATTCACGGAATTAGCTATCTGGGCTGCGTACAACTTGAATTGCCAAATATTTGTTCGCGTAAAATGTGAAATGACGGACTTTTGTGTCGTGAAAGGTGATTTGCATACCCAGCTGTGACCGTGATTCCTGGTAATTTTTTTTACACAGTACAGGTAAAAACATGTTTTTCAATTTTTGTGAAATGGTGAATTTTCTACATGTGAAACGTAAAATGTCTGTTTTCCTCACGTCAACGTGATCCGAACCATAGAGATTATAAATAACAATATAATAAGTGTTATTTATAATCTCTATGATCCAAACCCTCCCACTTTACCACCTTCTACAACAGATCCATACATGCTTTCCAGGTTTCAAATGGTGTAATTTTGTGTTTATGATTGGGTTGCCGTGAAACTGATTACAAGAATTATGCCTAGCTGTTGTTCTTTTATTGGCTATATTCAACACATGACTTGTTATTGAAGATTGAAGAACATGCTCTGGACTCCCACGTTTGAGATATCAATATAATTGGAATGCTGAACTGAAATTTCAAAATGACAAAAACAATGTCACTTCTCAGACTTGAATGGTTGTTAGTTAATAGAAATATCATTGTGATTTGTGAATCCACCCTCAATGCATGCACACACTTACTCTGATGCACAAGCTGAATATGAAGTTTTTGATTGTTTTTTGCAGTGACCATGTATATCACCACGTAGATTGAACACTTCGTAACAAGCATCGTCAGCTTTAAAAGCACCTTTACGAAAAAAAAACACGACATATTTATTAGTTTACGCCAACTAGTTTATGTCTTTGGTTAATGTAAATAAATGAAAGTCATTCACGCCCAACGTTTTGTAGTGTCTAGTTTATATTAGTCCCTACTCAAAGTATAATGATTCCATATTTATATATGCTACGCTTTCCAATAACGCACTTCTAGGAAATTTAAGGTGATGTCAGGTAAATTATAACAGCATTGACAAGTAAACGTGGAAGTTGAAACTTGAAAGACAAAGCAAGCTATAAAGAATGCCAAATTGTATGTCCAGGCTTTCCGAAGGTCCAAATCTCAGTTAAAAATATTTTCCAGGCAGCATTCCCCCGAATAGCTTGGTAGATTTTGCCCCATATCCTATTGTTCTAATATATTCTTTCAAAAGAAACACTTGCTACTTCACACTAATTAAATTTTAACGTAAAAAGTAACGTAAAATTTAAAACTAGCAATTTAAAAAATCAGGTAATACGGACCCTTTTACACCCTCCACCCCCACAAAGTCTTCGCTGTGTCCATGGTTAGGAAACTCGACGGTGTCTCATGCATCGAGTTTCCTAGCCTCCTTTATTCTATTGACTATGGGCTGTCAAAAACGTGCCAGGTTTGAATGTAATTTCTGTTGGGGAATTGCATTCATTTACTTCGTGAGTGAAAATATGCCTGATGTCTAACCTGCTGGCAATCGAGTGATATCAGTATGATCATGAATTCGTATAAAAATCTATACGTCGTCATGTTTTCATTAATTTCAAGTAAAAGGAAATTTTAAAATACATACCGCCATTCCATAATTCAGTGCATTGTTCACTATGCGTTCTACATTCTCCTTCATGACAATATCCCTATGGTAGCATAAAAAAAATCAAACTTGCCTGTTCTATCAAATGTAAAACCGCAGTATAATTTCGGGCCCGCAGTAATTGGCAATTACGCTGTTGCGTATTTCCTGCCACTATATGTAATATGTACAAGGCGAATTAAATAAATAAATTTTAAACTCCCCGTCAGACGAGGATGAGATGACGTGAGTTGCAATCTGGCTGCAACTCTCGATCGCGTTTTACCGCGGGCTCACATCAAATCTCATAAATTCTCATCAACCTTGAATCATTCCGCATCGACTCTCGCGCTTCTCATTCTCGTTCGAGCCCGAGAATGAGAGTTGATGAGAGTTGGCAGTCACGCATTGTTAAGGGGAACATTTCAAGCTCTAAATGAACAAATTACAGGTTTGACGAGTGTTCCGACTATGTTTTAACCAACTGGAACGCTATATACCTTCAGATAAGCTGCTTATCTTAGAGAGAGAGAGAGAGAGAGAGAGAGAGAGAGAGAGAGAGAGAGAGAGAGAGAGAGAGAGAGAGAGAGAGAGAGAGAGAGAGAGAGAGAGAGAGAGAGAGAGAGAGAGAGAGAGAGAGAGAGAGAGAGAGAGGGAGAGAGAGAGAGAGAGAGAGAGAGAGAGAGATATATATATATATATATATATATATATATATATATATATATATATATATATATATATATATATATATATATATATATATATATATATATATATACATATATAATATATATATATATATATATATATATATATATATATATATATATATATATATATATATATATATATATATATATACATATACATATATATATATACATATATATATATATACATATATATATATTATATACATATATATATATATTATACATATATATATATATATATATATATATATATATATATATATATATATATATATATATATATATATATATATATATATATATATAT